ACAAAAACAAAAATAGAAGTACCAATCGAAACGATCAAAATAATAAATAGAAAAAAGGAAAAAGACATGTTCCGCTCCATGTAAAATAAGACTGAGATTTAGTAAAAATGGATAGAACGGTTGGGCTAGGTAACTAGTTCGGTTTTTGATAAGGCCCATATGTGTGCGACCGCTAGTGCCAAGGAGGCACGGCAGGGTGCCGTGCTTAACAACACGGTACAATAGCCGGTTCCTATGGCATAAAGAATACTCCCTCCGTTTCAAAATAAATGACTCAACTTTGTACTAAGTTAGTATAAAGTTGAGTCATCTATTTTAAAACGAAGGGAGTATTGGAGATGTTGCAGAGCTTTATTGTGGCTAGGGGACCTTTGCCCCCCTCCCCCAATCCAAAAATATTGTAACTTCTTTCTTTAGGGGATAAAAACACTGTAACTTTTAGGCATGCATGTATGAGTCTGATAACTGAGTGGGACTAACTAGCCCATCCCACTTAAATTGCGTTAGTGGGATCCTATTTGTATACAACCTTGAAGTGTAATACTATCCCCCATTCTTTATCCCTCGAACTTTTGAAGTGTGAGCAGCCAGAACACATCATTAAATGGCTCATGCAGCTCCGGTACGTAAAATTGCTTTGTTACTAGCGGCAGTGTGGACGATGGCTCGGGCCAATATATTGCCGTTCAAAAAATTTCAAACTAACTAGAAATAGCCTGGAGGGAAACTAGGCTATATATATAGCAAGCGGGAGAGTGAAAAATTTGTAATTGCACCACCAAAGAATCTCATTCCAATCCCCACGCTGTCCATTCTTCGCTCGACACTTCCACATGGGTGGGGCGGTGGAAACGCTGCTCAGCATCTTCCTTGATTTTCCTTTTCATCTATATTTGTAGCGTGCATATCTGATTTGTTCTTATAAATGAGACGTTTTGACAGCATGTGATATAGCAAAATTAAGGCCACGCAGTCTACTACTGTTGTGCTTTGCTCCTCCATTTCATTGGCTTCTATTAATGGCCAAAACAAGGTTCATTTAATAGCTTGATTATTGAAAAGCATTTTTTTAATATTAAAATGGTTGGTGATCGTATTTACATCTGACTTTTGCCTATGTTTTCACTAGGATCAGTGCCATCTAGATGGAGATTCCCGTGCGGATAAAGAATCTTTGGTCTCATGTGATGATGGATTCGCAGAAAAGTATGTTGCCCATTATATAAAAAGGAATGTTACAGATAGTAGTTTTTTCACAATTTTTTAACTAACAAACATTTGAACGAAAAATTGTGTCTATGGCCGCGAAGAAGAGCGATGCGGCAAAGTGCGCGCCCACTTCCAGTTATATTCATCCGCTATAAAGAATACATGAGCTCAAAAATCTTCTTGAGATATTAAATGGCACATGGCGTAAAGAATATTAGAGATGTTGCAGAGCTTCATTGTGGCTAGGGGACCTTTGCCCCCCTCCCTCAATCCAAAAATACTAGCTTCTTTTTTTAGGGGATAAAAACACTGTAACTTCTAGACATGCATGTATGGACCTGATAACTGAGTGGGACTAATTAGCCCATCCCACTTAAATTGCGCTAGTGGGATCCTATTTGTATACAACCTTGAAGTGTAATACTATCCCCCATTCTTTATCCCTCGAACTTTTGAAGTGTGAGCAGCCAGAACACATCATTAAATGGCTCATGCAGCTCCGGTACGTAAAATTGCTTTGTTACTAGCGGCAGTGTGGACGATGGCTCGGGCCAATATATTGCCGTTCAAAAAATTTCAAACTAACTAGAAATAGCCTGGAGGGAAACTAGGCTATATATATAGCAAGCGGGAGAGTGAAAAATTTGTAATTGCACCACCAAAGAATCTCATTCCAATCCCCACGCTGTCCATTCTTCGCTCGACACTTCCACATGGGTGGGGCGGTGGAAACGCTGCTCAGCATCTTCCTTGATTTTCCTTTTCATCTATATTTGTAGCGTGCATATCTGATTTGTTCTTATAAATGAGACGTTTTGACAGCATGTGATATAGCAAAATTAAGGCCACGCAGTCTACTACTGTTGTGCTTTGCTCCTCCATTTCATTGGCTTCTATTAATGGCCAAAACAAGGTTCATTTAATAGCTTGATTATTGAAAAGCATTTTTTTAATATTAAAATGGTTGGTGATCGTATTTACATCTGACTTTTGCCTATGTTTTCACTAGGATCAGTGCCATCTAGATGGAGATTCCCGTGCGGATAAAGAATCTTTGGTCTCAGATGATGATGGATTCGCAGAAAAGTATGTTGCCCATTATATAAAAAGGAATGTTACAGATAGTAGTTTTTTCACAATTTTTTAACTAACAAACATTTGAACGAAAAATTGTGTCTATGGCCGCGAAGAAGAGCGATGCGGCAAAGTGCGCGCCCACTTCCAGTTATATTCATCCGCTATAAAGAATACATGAGCTCGAAAATCTTCTTGAGATATTAAATGGCACATGGCGTAAAGAATATTAGAGATGTTGCAGAGCTTCATTGTGGCTAGGGGACCTTTGCCCCCCTCCCTCAATCCAAAAATACTAGCTTCTTTTTTTTAGGGGATAAAAACACTGTAACTTCTAGACATGCATGTATGGACCTGATAACCGAGTGGGACTAATTAGCCCATCCCACTTAAATTGCGCTAGTGGGATCCTATTTGTATACAACCTTGAAGTGTAATACTATCCCCCATTCTTTATCCCTCGAACTTTTGAAGTGTGAGCAGCCAGAACACATCATTAAATGGCTCATGCAGCTCCGGTACGTAAAATTGCTTTGTTACTAGCGGCAGTGTGGACGATGGCTCGGGCCAATATATTGCCGTTCAAAAAATTTCAAACTAACTAGAAATAGCCTGGAGGGAAACTAGGCTATATATATAGCAAGCGGGAGAGTGAAAAATTTGTAATTGCACCACCAAAGAATCTCATTCCAATCCCCACGCTGTCCATTCTTCGCTCGACACTTCCACATGGGTGGGGCGGTGGAAACGCTGCTCAGCATCTTCCTTGATTTTCCTTTTCATCTATATTTGTAGCATGCATATCTGATTTGTTCTTATAAATGAGACGTTTTGACAGCATGTGATATAGCAAAATTAAGGCCACGCAGTCTACTACTGTTGTGCTTTGCTCCTCCATTTCATTGGCTTCTATTAATGGCCAAAACAAGGTTCATTTAATAGCTTGATTATTGAAAAGCATTTTTTTTAATATTAAAATGGTTGGTGATCGTATTTACATCTGACTTTTGCCTATGTTTTCACTAGGATCAGTGCCATCTAGATGGAGATTCCCGTGCGGATAAAAAATCTTTGGTCTCAGGTGATGATGGATTCGCAGAAAAGTATGTTGCCCATTATATAAAAAAGGAATGTTACAGATAGTAGTTTTTTCACAATTTTTTAACTAACAAACATTTGAACGAAAAATTGTGTCTATGGCCGCGAAGAAGAGCGATGCGGCAAAGCGCGCGCCCACTTCCAGTTATATTCATCCGCTATAAAGAATACATGAGCTCGAAAATCTTCTTGAGATATTAAATGGCACATGGCGTAAAGAATATTAGAGATGTTGCAGAGCTTCATTGTGGCTAGGGGACCTTTGCCCCCCTCCCTCAATCCAAAAATACTAACTTCTTTTTTTTAGGGGATAAAAACACTGTAACTTCTAGACATGCATGTATGGGCCTGATAACTGAGTGGGACTAATTAGCCCATCCCACTTAAATTGCGTTAGTGGGATCCTATTTGTATACAACCTTAAGTGTAATACTATCCCCCGTTCTTTATCCTTCAAACTTTTGAAGTGTGATATTTCCAATCGTGCGTGCATTTAAGTGGGATCCCATTTGTGCCCACATAATTTGTGTATGTTCTGACGGGATGTCTGGTTATCAGCACTAACCGTACAGATTGAGGTGGAACAAAGAACAAGAACACATCCAAGAAGCAAACTGTACCAACCGCATCGAATCGTTGGTTTGAATCGCGCACCCGCTGCAATGACCGAACTTGCATAATAAATTCACCGTCTTAAGGAGTCGTGATTAAGATGATGGAGGTAGGAGGAGTATAATTTTGCCGAGCAACGGAAACGGCCTAAAGAAACACTAGAATGATCCTAATTAGATGGTCAAGTGCCGATAACGGTCCCTTTATCATTAATTATTTAATGGTTTTGATCAGCTTGCTATACTCGAGAGATCAACACATACTTATTTATCTTTATTTATATATGTGTGTGCCTAGCTGCCTCTCATCGTGTCCGACTGGATCAAGCAGCATCATGCTCCTGTGCCTAGATGATCTCTGTTCCTCAACGGCATCAAGCTTGATCTTTGATGGGGGTCGATGCGGGTGATGATGGCGTTTGCAGACGTCCTTCTACTTATCAGAGGTATTGTCGACGAGTTCGTTAGATTGTGGCAATGGTTTAGTGTCATCATTCATCAAACACCGTGTATTCATCATTCAGACGACAAGAATTCTGCCGGTTGTAACTTCAAAAATTGCCTGAGGCTGTTTTAGTTCGAAGAACGGCATAGACAAAAAACATAGCCGCTGTTTCCACATTAATTCAAGTCAGTTCACATCCACAAGAGGTCTTGAGCACATCAGTTTAAAACAGAAATGCAACACCAGGGCCTTTTAAATAACTAAAACGCCGAAATTTGTTGTAAAACAGAGGAATCACCACATGAACCGACTTGCATGCAACAGTGGCATTACCACATTCCCATAAATTCAGCAAATAACTATCCAGGTCCAGCATGGGACAGATTTTGCAAGAAGCAAATTGCGCAACTTCACCAACAGGGCAACGTACGAACTGATGATTCGATGAGTGCATCTTAAACGCACATGTTTCTGAACACATGCATACCGGAAACAACCAAGAGCAACATCATCCATGTAAAACATATTTAGCCCGAAAGGGACTTTCGGCTAAAATGGCTATTCTACATTCCAAAAACAAAGCCATTCGAGTAGCATGGTATGTATAGCGCACTATTGTTCTCCGCAATCGGCTGCCTGAAAGGATTTACCTGTATCTGGATGAGAAATGACAGATGATGAAGGTGTTAGTTTGATTGACGCTCCATAATGCAACAGCAAAAGAGATAACGAAAGGCAGAGCATATATAAGACATACAGGGAGTCCCAGGGGTTGACCAGTTATGGAGCTTATGCAGCAAGAGGCCAGATGAGCAGCTTCTTCGCAGAAGTCCGTAAAAATTGCAGGAACTCCAATCCCCCTAATCATTTCCTTGAAATGAAATAGAATACAAATGATAATTAGCACCAACTTTTTAAAATAAAAAGCCTCTTACAAATATAGCTGAGGCAGTGTAAATGTGAAATTCCAAAACATGCTTCCATGAATCATGTAGCTGATGCAGTATTACAGAAACAAGAGATATCAATTGACTGCATGCATTTTTACTTTGAAATCATCAATTGAAGTTATAACTTGGAGTACTAGACAAAAGGAGGGAGGATACACCAACACAGGATCAAACAGTTGAAGTCATAAATGCATACTACGGTATGAAAGTAACTTGTTTATTATGCACTCAATACTTACAATAGTAGGCATCCAACTAGGATAAGCAGCTACACCCGCATTTGGGGCAAGTATAAGATGAGGATTTGAATCCTACCAAGAGACAAATTATTAGTAGGGGGAAGTCAGCCATACATGAAAGTACTTGACTGTCAAGCTGACAGGGAATTTCACATTTTTAAATAAGTCAAGAGTTACTGTTGAGAGAACCTTTACTATATCACCATATCTCTCATGATAGAGGCCTTTCCATATTCTCAGTGTCACCGCACTGCAATTCAAGTTCTCAGAGGAAATAGAAGATCTACACTGGCAGCTCTCACCGGAACAATTTGGATAGCTGGAAATATTTACAACTTCACCATCCCTGTAAGCAGCCATCATATCAAAATCACAAAAAAGAGCAGGAACACCAAACCAATTATCCTACTCAGTATTTGGAAATAACAGTATATGATATACCTGTTGAAAATAAGGCCTACCACTAAAATAATCCCGAAAACAGGCAACATACTGAACATCAATGTTAGGTCTACAAGATTTCTACCACTATCAAATATATGAAGGCTAGTACTGCGTGTATCATCGACTTAAGACTTGGATAGACTAAATTCGATATGAGTCAACCGGGAATTTGATCACATATGAAATAACAAATCACAACATGTACTTGCAGTGCAACAGATCGGACATGCTTTTGTACATAGACAGAGGAGAGGTCATGGCAATCAGGTATATGCAAAGGAGAGGCGACAACAATCGGAGACCTGAGTAGTTGTGTGGAGGACAGCACTGCCCAGAATCCTTATCACATGGCACCCATTTTAGGTCCTAGTTTTCGCCATTCACATGCTGGCACACTTAACTTGGCCAAACAGAATTCAGAGAACACATGTGAGATGTATTCTCCTCCTCTATTCGACCTTAAGCATTTGATTTTCTTATCTAGTTGGTTCTCTACCTCAACCTTACTGATCTTAAAGCAATTTAATGCCTCATCTTCTGCTGTAAGTTAAAACATGTAGCACCATCTTCTATGGACATCATCATACTATTTCATTGTATTAGTCAATATTGCATTCATGTGCCATCCATGTGCCAGAGCCATGAGTTGGTTGCGAGATCTTATGGGTTTCACCTCTAGCCTAACCCCAATTTGTTTGGGACTAAAGGCTTTGTTGTTGTTGTTGTTGTAGTCAATATTGCATTCGTTCGACATATGTCTAAATGGTTAAATCTAAAGGTGAAAGATTGTTCTCCCATATAGCCATGAATAGATTTCGAGGTTGGCTTGCACACAAGCAAGACAGTTAGATCCTCTGACTATGGAAAAAATCAGAACTGAATCAAGTTTGCACAAATGAATAATGTGATCAAAATTAATGCGACATAAACAAGAATTCTGAACATGACACTCCCTAAATTATTTCCAGAGTCTAGATTAACGTTCAACCTTTTCTATTTAAGATGACTAACTGGAGGCAGATTTCTAATTAGCTCTCATAAATAAAGGAACGATAAAAATATTGATGGGGAAAAAGTAAGTATATATATAAAGTTGTCAGGCAAACACAAGGAAATATCAAACATTAAAATCAAAAATCAGCTTCTGTGGCTAACCTGGATCTTGGAACTGCTGGCCCCACAAGTTCAATGCGAAGGTGGACACCTGGAAATAGTGCACGTAGTTCTGCAAACACCGCAAGCTGAAGCAGCTCTTTCTCAGGTCCTTCAGATATTTAGTAGATAATGTGCATGAAGAAAGAAAAACATCAGTGCCTGTTATCTGGTTGAAAGAGCTACACAGTACTGAAACAAAGATATTTCTCCTATGGCGAGTTGTGGTAAAATAGGAACCATCACATAATTAAAACTTGATTGTTGTGTTGTTGAGTAGTAATCAAAGACAAGCTAAGAGCCTAAGATACACTATTTGCATTCAAAGTTTCAAAGATATTGTAAGTTATAACACCCTGAATTCTGTTCTTGCTTTTATGGAAGAGAATGAGTGATAGAAATTTTGTCTCATTGAACAGCCTACAAAGCTTTCAACGTTTGCTGCAATCTGCACAATAACAGCCTAAGAAAGTTCCTGCCATGAATTAAGTACAATCTTGCTTACTACTTAATGGCATTATTGGCATGTACTTGTGCCCAAATATTTAGTGATAATCCTGTACAACCAATACAATGTGGGACGAAGTGTTAGAGTACGTAATGGGCCTAATGGGCCCGTTAGTCTTAGGGTTAATTAGAGATAAGGGTCGCTTGCTTAGGCGTCAAGTAAGCCTTGCTTGGGAGTCAAGTAAACCTCTCTATATAAAGAGAGGAGATGTATCAATCTAATCAAGCAAGAATTAAGAAGGAAATCCCTTCCCTCTTGCCCGGCCGTGGGCAGAAAGGCCCCCGGCCGGCCCTCTCGCGCCCTCCTCCTTACAGCGCCATAACAATTTGGTATCAGCTAGCTTCGGTTCGATCATGTCTTCACCGCCGCCAAGCCCGTCTCTTCCGCTGCCGGTCACCTCGTCGCCTCTGGCGACCACCACGACCGTCGCCCCGCTCCTGCCCACGCCGGGATCCTCCGTCGCACCCGCCCCCGCCATCCTCACCCCGGAGGAGGTGTTCGGGGTGCTGCGGGACCTAACCCAGGCGGTCCAGGAGATCCACATGTTCTTGGCCGAGTCCTACGGGACGCCCCCGGCTGCGCCGCCCATCGCCGCCCCCGCGCCGCCGTGGCTGCCGTGGCAGCCGCCGCACCTGGCGGCCTTCGCCATGCTCGCCGGGCCGCTGCAACTGCCATCCATCGCCACCACCGCCCAGCCCTGGCTGCAGTGGCAGCCGCCGCTCCTAGCGGCCTCCGCCGCGCCCGGCGCTTTGCCGCAGCAGCCGCTGCCGCTGCCAGGCGCGACACCGCAGTAGCCGCTGCAGCTGCAGCAGCCATCGCCGGTCAGCTCCGCCGCCCAGTATGGGATGCCCTACGACGGGACTGCGACGACCTTGTTCCCATCAGCGCCGCCGCCATCCCAGGGCGTCCACGTCCAGCAGATCAAGTCCCCGCCGCCGCCGTCACCGCTTCCGTCTTGGATCGCTACCCGCCACATGTCGGCGGCGGTGAGGCTGCAGGCTGCTGCACACGGCCTCCTAGCGCGTCGGCGTGTGCGGGAGATGCGTGGTCTGCAGCTGCCGCTCCTCCAAGTTGCCCTTCGCTGTGCAAAGGACCTCGATCTCGTCCGCTGCGTCGGGGATCTTGGGCATGCGGTTTCCCCCACGGGCGGCGGGCATGCTGTTTTCCCCGTGGGCAGCGACCTCAAAGTCTGCGACATCGGCGGTTGGGGGGGCGCACCTCTCCTCGACATTCTCCATCGCAAGCCCTCCACTCTTCCATGTGCAGTGCAGACCAACAGTCATACACATGCACTCCTTTTGTCCAGGTGGTGTCCATGGGATCCAAGTGGTTGTACACGTGCACGTCCAAAATAAAGTGTCCCAGTCTATTTCAGGTTGAGAGTAATAACACAAGCCAAGATGTAAAAAGCTTGTTTTTAGGTGTTAGGTTTGTGTTGCGTCGAGTCATGGTTATAAGTTGGTTAGGCTGCAACTCGAGAACAAGCTGCATGACCAGGTGGGGTGTAGTGTTAGAGTACGTAATGGGCCTAATGGGCCTGTTAGTCTTAGGGTTAATTAGAGATAAGGGTCGCTTGCTTAGGGGTCAAGTAAGCCTTGCTTGGGAGTCAAGTAAACCTCTCTATATAAAGAGAGGAGATGTATCAATCTAATCACGCAAGAATTAAGAAGGAAATCCCTTCCCTCTTGCCCGGCCGTGGGCAGAAAGGCCCCCGGCCGGCCCTCTCGCGCCCTCCTTCTAACAGCGCCATAACACGAAGGTAGTCAATGAAACAAATGGTAATACCAGGAGACGCTTATACTTCTGAAATAAATTTCAGCAGGCATTAAGAAGTTTACCAACGCTTCAAGACTTTGCAAAAAATGCAATCATCCACAACTAGCCCTAGAATAGAGTGAACCTCAAAGGCATTTTAAACTAGCTTGGCCCAATAAAAAATGACGCTAGCAGGAACCATTGAAGAAGCTGGCTACCATGGAACAACCGGAGTTACACAGATGCATGCAAGCACTCTACATGGCAGAGAGCTGAACATAACAGATTTTACCTAAATAGTGAATGCACAGAGTGTCATGCCCATCATATCTTGAAGTTTGGATGCGAGATAGTTGAAGGCAATGATATAGAGTAAGTGGCTGCAAAATTGAAGCAAGTGCGGTGAACACTGGCCCGTAATGAGATTGCACAGTAAGACAAAATGGGACCGCAACTGTACAATATACTACAACAGCAGCATCTCCCTGTCTGAAAAATGCTATACAAAATAAAGTTTGCCCCACTTAACTTCAATTCCTCCCTTTACTCACTTTGCAATTAACGTTGTTCAGTATCGGACCACTTATAATTAATGATATTGATACTGTACAAGACCTTCCAAGTTTCATGCTATATGGTGACATGAAGATGGATTATCTCAATCTAAATAAAACCTTTCACACATATCCTATATACAACAATTGTATTTGCAATGCAGGCAGTGGATGTGTTTTTGTGTATATTTCTTTGTTTATTAAGGAGTTCTGTAACCAGTTGTCTCTCCTTTGTTTGGACCTTTATTTTGCCCTCCTAATATGTTCAGAATACCCCATCCCCCGTGTGCTCTTATTAACAAAATCAAACCCACCAGATGACATAATGAGTAATAGGATATTTAAAGAGTACCACTTCTGAAAACTAATAGTCCCTCTGTACAAAAATAATTTGAACTAAAACCAAGTTACTTATTTCGGGGCGCAGGAAGTATATCATAAGATATTATATTGCACATACCCAGTGAAGTAAAACTGCCACAGGTGAATGTAAAGGAAGGGATCTCCACTGAAAGTAGTCTTCCCAGCTTGCGAGGGGTGCGGGCACAGGATTTTCAGGCTCTATGGTTCACAAAAAATGTGATATTTTTAATTACAGTAAAATAAACATATTTCTAGCAACCTCACCAAATCCAGAGCTGCACCTGTACATGGGCAAAGTGAGCTTTCCATGTTCCATTCAGTTGTTATGCTGTACATTATGCAGAACAATACGAAGTCAAATTACCAGACAGTAACAACGGAATAAAGAAATAACAATTTTAAGCCATGTAAATAGTTTGTTTAAAAAATAATTAGCCACTGAGACAGTTATACCCACATGAAAATGGTGAAGACTGATTCCTAATGACCAGAAAAGGAGAGCATGTAGAAAGACTCGAAATTATTCAAGTTTGATCTATAGGATGAAAAAAGTGATAGAATTGAATACATAAAAAGTTGAGATAGAAAAGCAACTCATCGTTATATAAAAAAGTTACCCACACCCTCGTCGGCCATTACAACTCTTTTGATGCCCTATATGAAGTTAAGCGAAAAATATGAAGATGAACACAAGACTCTATAAACAACTTCCAAGCAAATTAGCAGAAAAATCACTGCCATCAGCCAGTCAAACTGTATCAGTTCAAACATTCAGTATATACATCACAGGAATTCCCTCCTGCTCCGACCACAATAGCTTAATAAGAGAAGCGAGTTCCCCAAAAAGATAGCCATAAGATCTTTAGACTTAACTAATAGTGTTCCCAAGACATGGAAGATCATACATTGATAACATGATATCATATAGAATATCAAACTGGATGGCTAAGAGTGCCTCCTCAACAAACAATAGAGTTCATTATTATGCTTAACTGACTAGATCATTCCAGGGCTGCTCTTCTGCCGCCGGCACACTGAGCATTTCTTAGTGTGTTCATTTTGCTTTCAGTTGTTTGGCTGACCTTGTCTAAGGAATGTAAAGTTTTCAATCATCAATACAACGAGACACAATGCTCATTAAGTTTTCTTGAAAAGACTAGTGTGTCATTATGCTATTTTCTTTTACAAACCTCAGGTCCTTGACACAAGCAATATCTGGGCCACACATGCATTCTGATTTCCAGAGTCCTTTCAGATGAACTTTCATCGACTCCAAAAACAAGCACCTCATACTTCGGTTCGTATGATTCTAAAATTAATAAAATGTGTGTGAGAAAACAAGACATTACAAAGCAATAGAGAAACACAAGCTCTTTAATTTGCATAAAAAGGTAACTTAGAAGAACAGGTGAGGTAAGTGCAGAACACGAATGAAGGCAATTGGTACCAAATCATTTCAAGAATCTAAGGTAGGACCATGAAAAGAACTTGAGGCACAAGAAAAATGAAAAATTACGGAGAAATGGAATATCACTATTTTGAAAAGACAGGAAGTACCAGAGCAAGAGGTTCAACGGAGAATGTGAACGGAAATTGGCTGAGCATATCAATGCGACTCATTTGTGTTGCAAGCCTTGCACATTCTTCTTTATGAACTTTCCAATGAATGAACTGAAAAGGGATTGCCAAATTAATGCATGAAAAATATATGTAAAAGGAGAATGATAAGTGATACAATTATAGAAGAATTTATTTCCTAGTACACTGCTATAAACTCCACTGACCCTGTCGATAGTGCTACATGGCTCCTAAAGTCATGTTTCCTAGTATAATTCTGCTACCTCTGTCAGAATCAAACTGCTTTTGATGGTTATCAAATAGCCCTCCATTCCTACTGCATGATGCATAGCCTACCAACCCTTCTTGACATGAAGTCTATCAAACACCCCAACCATCAGAAAAGGCTCAAGCTTAAGCGAATATAGGAGAAATACTCCTTTCAAAATGCAAAGTGAACAAAAAACTTGTCTGCAGTTTGATTTGTCCTGATGCCTGATGATTCCCTCGTTGTGTTTATGGCTTATTTAAAACAGCGACAATCACAAATTTACAACGATGTAACTCAATCCTAATGTACCCGTGAGCCTCCAATAATCAAGTGAGCACTTTTCTAGCAATATTTTCACCGAAAGGTTGCACGATCAACTAATTTGTAGTACATTCCTCAATCGAAAACCCCCAAAGGAAAATCAATCTAGAACCACAAAACCTCGATGCTACAAAGCTCACGGTATACGCAAGTCCAAATGTGCCCATTCCTTAGCCATATTTCTCTATTCAGAGTGCTACTAACATGCCGGTCATTCTTGGAGCTAGAGCACGCACTCGAATTCGCAACCCTCCCCCCAAAATTCCAAGAACTAAATAAATTGTAATGGAACAAAAGATAAAGGGATAGGTGCTACCTGGTGGCCTTTCGAGCAGTAGGCCACGGCCCCGCAGCTGCCGCACCGCCGGTGGGCGCCGCTGGCACATGGCTCCTCCACTATCCCCCTCGCCGCACACTCCATTGTCATCTGACAAGAAAAAAAGAAGGGAAGGTGAACTCTTTGAGGGGTGACAAAGACAGCTCCAGCCCACAAAAATCTGTGTAGAGCACTGTAATTTTTCCCATGTGCTAGTAGTGGTAGTGGCTGCTGGCTGGTGTCTCATCTGTTTATTTAATATTGCCGGTTGCTCAATGCTAATTACCATGTGAAGTTGTGAAGTGAACAAGTTAGATTTTGTCGATGAAGTGGTGATTTAAGCACCCTTTACTGTCGGCGCAGGTGACTGGTGATTATTAAGCTGCAAACCGCATTCAGTACTACACTATTGCAAGAAAACAAAATCTGCACCCTGCCAAGTATGCATAATAAATTACTGATTCTCAACCTTCTCAACCCTGCTGACATCCTACCAAGCCCAAGCATGTTACAAATTTCTGTCTAGTTTGTTAGAGTTGAAGAAAAGCCAACTATTTTATTTGAGAAGATAATGTATGTAACTTTAACCTACTTTGCTGTTTGTGAAGTAAAATTTCTGGTTTGCATCAAGAATGTAGGTAACAAGCCGAGGCTTTACACACCATTTCTTCAGAACTATTCAAGCCCAGCATCTAAGAAGACACGGGGAAGAAGGGAATAGAGTGGGAAATGTCTTACGGGGCTGAAGCTTGACGGAAAAGTAGGGAGATCTCGTCGACCTTGGGGCGGAAGACGGCGGGCTGTGAGGTGGAGGCGGAGGAAGCCCACGCGCTGACCAGTGGTTTTGTGAGCCGCTTTTGGGCACGGCCGGCCGGCGGGCGGTGACCGGGAGGGGCGGAGCTCGGAGGGCACCGACGGCGGGCAGAGTGGGCGGCGACGGCCGAACGGGTGCACCGGGGGGGTAGAGCGGCGGCGGCGGCGGCGGCGAGGGATCCCTAGTTTTCTCTGTCTCGCTCGATTTGAGGCTGACCTGTTTGGGCTGAGAGGGCACGTCACACGTGAACAGTATCAGTGACATGCCCCCTCCCTAAACCGTCCGATCCACAGTCAACGGACAGATCAGGATGAAGCTACAGAAGAAACACCAACAATAGGGGCAAAGAGCCCTCCATCTCTCAACTCCTTGTCCTCGTGACCAAGGGGTTGCTCCCGGTCATTATCACTCTGCCGCGGCGCCATGCTTCCCCGCTAGAGGTCTAGCCTTCCATCTCACAGTGAGCATAAAATCCGATGCCTGAAAGTTAGGGTATATGATAGTAGTTGCTATTCCCTCTGTTCTTAGATATTTGTCTTTCTAGATATTTCAACAAGTGACTACATACGGAGCAAAATGAGTGAATCTACACTCTATATACATCTGTATGTGGTAGTCCATTTGAAATCTCTAAAAGACAAATATTTAGGAACGGAGGGAGTATATATGAGTGGGTTTTGTGTCTCTGCACACGACTTGCGCGCCATTGGTAAGTAGTTGTCTCAGTTTAAATGTTCGACTTGCCAAATGGTTCTTTTCACACAACTTGCATGCCGATTGATGTAGTTGCCTCGGTTTTAACTTCATAAGGACCAAATGGTTTGACATGCAATTTTTACATTGATATTGCTATGTTTTTTCTATTGCTACTGAAACTTGCTACACTCCAATGTACATATGTTTGCACGGATAGTTCTTTATACACAAATCTGTTGTTAACTATGTGGCCATCTAAGTGGATTATCTAGTCTTTTTTTTCATTTTCTCAAAACTTGCCTAACACTTGATAACTATTTGCATCAACCACACTTGAAACCTTGACTCACTAGGTCTTGATGAGCCAATACCCGCAAGCCCAAGAGTGTCCATTTGGAATTATGTTCTCATAACCAAGGTAATGAAGAAAGACAAAAGGGGGCCAAGGGATTCTGGCAAGCTGCGTTTAAGCGTTTTTTTCTACACAACATCTTTTTTTTTTTGCATCAAAATATGGCAAACTTCATGAAGGCAGTCCAGGAAATTCCCACACATAACATAGGGCAAAAAAATCATACAAACATTTCTCAGGGGTAATCACATACATAATTTCCAGACAAGTCATAGATGAAACACTAACAACTCAAACTCATAACATAAGCAAGTCATGCACACAGGATCTACACCGTGACACAAATTTTAACAGGTAAGTCATACATAATGAGAAAGGAAACACATAAACACAAGGTGTGCATGCACAAAACATGAATTGACTTTTTTTCAAACGAGCTTGATGAACTATTCTTAGATTCTCTTGAAGGGCCTAATTGGATATATGTTCTTCCTAGATGTCTAAAAACACGTATATCAGCCTATCATCCTCTACAACAAAACATAATACACAATTTTCTGAATTTTTAACTAACTAATATATTGGAATAGCAGTAACTATGTAATGCACGCATAACAATTCTCTCAAAGAATATCCGTCATGCCAAAAAGTACATAATGGGATTGAGAAGGAATAAAGCTAATAAGGTAAAAAAGAGAGTAAATACTAAATACTTGCGAAAAGTGTGGAAGGCCAGGACAATAGTTGAATAAAGAAACAAAAATAGAAAGAAAGAAAATAATAGGGCCCAACCGGGTTCGAACCGATGACCTATTGATCTGCAGTCAATTGCTCTACCACTGAGCTATGGGCCCATTAATATTGTTTCATTTTACCCTACTACATATATAACTACATGTCATTGGTAAGTAGTTGCCTCGGTTTAAATGTTCAACTTGCCTAATGGCTCTCTTTACACAATTTGCACGCCAATTAATGTAGTTGCCTTGGTTTTAACTATTCGACTTGCCTAATGGTTTGACCGGCAGTTTTACATTGATAATGCTATGTTTTTTCTATTGCTACTGAAACTTGCTACACTCCAATGTACATATGTCTGCACTGATAGTTCTTTATACACAAATTTGTTGTTAACTATGTGGCCATCTAAGTGGATTATCTAGTTTTCTTTTTCATTTTCTCAAAACTTGCCTAACACTTGATAACTATTTGCATCAACCGCACTTTAAACCTTGACTCACTGGGTGTTGATGAGCCAATACCCTCAAGCCCAAGAGCATCCATTTGGAATTATGTTCTCATAACCAAGGTAATGAAGAAAGACAAGTAGGGGCCAAGGGATTCTGGCAAGCTGCGCTTAAGCGTTTTTTTTCTACACGACATCATTTTTCTGCATCAAAACATGGCAAACTCCATGAAGGCAGTCCAGGCAATTCCCACACATACCATAGGGCAAAAAAACCATACAAACACTTCTCAGGGGTAATCACAGACATAATTTCCAGACAAGTCATAGATGAAACACTAACAACTCAAACTCATAACATAAGCAAGTCATGCACACAAGATCTACACCACGACACAAATTATAATAGGTAAGTCATACATAATGAGAAAGGAAACACATAAACACAAGGTGTGCATGCACAAAACATGAATTGACTTTTTTCAAACATGTTTGATGAACTATTCTTAGATTCTCTAAAAGGGCCTAATTGGATATATGATCTTCCTAGATGTCTAAAAACACATATATGAGCCTATCATCCTCTAAATCAAAACATAATACACAATTTTCTGAATTTTTAAGTAACTAATCTATTGGAATAGCAGTAACCATGTAATGCACGTATAACAATTCTCTCAAAGAATATCCTTCATGCCAAAAAGTACATAATGGAATTGAGAAGGAATAAAGCTAATAAGGTAAAAAAGAGAGTAAATACTAAATACTTGCGAAAAGGTGTGGAAGGCCAAGACAGTAGTTGAATAAAGAAACAAAAATAGAAAAAAAAATAGGGCCCAACTGGGTTCGAACCAGTGACCTATTGATCTGCAGTCAATTGCTCTACCACCGAGCTATGGACCCATTAACATCGTTTCATTTTATCCTACTACATATATAACTACATGTCATTGGTTAGTAGTTGCCTCGGTTTAAATGTTCAACTTGCCTAATGGCTCTCTTCACACAATTTGCACGCCAATTAATGTAGTTGTGTTGGTTTTAACTGTTCGACTTGCCTAATGGTTTGACCGGCAATTTTACATTGACAATGCTATGTTTTTTCTATTGCTACTGAAACTTGCTACACTCCAATGTACATATGTTTGCACTGATGTTGTCAACTATGTGTCCATCTAAGTGGATTATCTAGTTTTGTTTTTCATTTTCTCAAAACTTGCCTAACACTTGATAACTATTTGCATCAACCGCACTTGAAACCTTGACTCACTGGGTGTTGATGAGCCAATACCCTCAAGCCCAAGAACGTCCATTTGGAATGATGTTCTCATAACCAAGGTAATGAAGAAAGACAAGAAGGGGCCAAGGGATTCTGGCAAGCTGTGCTTAAGCGTTTTTTTTTCTACACAACATATTTTTTTGCATCAAAATATGGCAAACTTCATGAAGGCAGTCCAGGCAATTCCCACACATAGCATAGGGCAAAAAAATCATACAAACATTTCTCAGGGGTAATCACATACATAATTTCCAGACAAGTCATAGATGAAACACTAATAACTCAAACTCATAACATAAGCAAGTCATGCACACAGGATCTACACCGTGACACAAATTATAACAGGTAAGTCATACATAATGAGAAAGGAAACACATAAACACAAGGTGTGCATGCACAAAACATGAATTGACTTTTTTCAAACAAGTTTGATGAACTATTCTTAGATTCTTTTGAAGGGCCTAATTGGATATATGTTCTTCCTAGATGTCTAAAAACACGTATATCAGCCTATCATCCTCTACAACAAAACATAATACACAATTTTCTGAATTTTTAACAAACTAATCTATTGGAATAGCAATAACCATGTAATGCACGCATAACAATTCTCTCAAAGAATATCCGTCATGCCAAAAAGTACATAATGGGATTGAGAAGGGATAAAGCTAATAAGGTAAAAAAGAGTAAATACTAAATACTTGCGAAAAATGTGGAAGGCCAAGACAGTAGTTGAATAAAGAAACAAAAATAGAAAGAAAAAAAATAATAGGGCCCAACCGGG